CTTGCTCGCATTGTGGATAGTGTGTTCCTTAAGTGTGTGTGTTGGGGGGGGGGGGGGGGGAGGTTGTGCATAAATGCTTGTGTAGAAGGTTTGCTATCGATCACGCTTTCTTGTGTTATGAATGTGTGAATTATTGAACGAGAGAAAGTGTGCCTTGCATAGTGATTATGGATGATGATTTAGTATAATTCGACCACTTAGAAACTTGCATGCATGGCCAAATTTTTTTCAATTTTGAGGGCTCCAAGTTGCCTTATTTGCTTGCAATGCGATTACTTGCTTTGGATCAGTGAATCTTGCTCTCCACGTCTTGACCAATGTTGAGGATTGTAGTGCATGGGATGTCTTAAGTCAAAGTGGTTTTGTTTGATTTCTTGATGTAGGTGGGTATGAGAATGTTTGAAGAATGATTAGTGTTAGGTTTGCATGTGAGCGAACCCTATTTCTCTTGGTTAGGCCATTAGAAAGGTGCTTGGTTCTGTGCTTTCTCGCAACATGCGTACAAAACAAAAAACTTTGGGTGCAGCGTCTAATGCAACATGTTGTGGCACCCCGTTCAGAGTAATGTGAGTGCCTTTTGGGATAATGTACATGAGAGATTCAGATTCAGATATTTTTGCCGCATCCAAACTTCACATTTTTCACTATTTCCATCCTCTCGTGTACCTCCTCTCATGGGCCGAGGTATATGTAGGAGAAACTACTCCTACTTGCCCGGCGAACAAGCACAAAAAAAAAGTACCATTAAAGTGCACATACTCAACAATAGATGAATGACTACTAAAACCCTCAAGCCAAAATTCTAAATAGAAATAAAGGTTTTCGAGAAAGTGTAGAAAAAATCCGAAAGAGTAGCGGTCCTTTCACCTACTTCGAAGAGTTTTGTTTTGCACCTTGCGCCTATCACCATCATTTTAGAACATTTATGGTGACCTTTCCCGAGTAAATCAAGCAAGATAATGTAGAATTGGGATGACCTTAGCCACTGGAAACCAGACTCCTACGAAACACATCATGTGTGGGGGATTTAGATGCCTCGAGTTGCATGATTTAATCGTATGTTTTCTTGGGGGCAAGAAAACAGTGTAAGTGTGGGAGAGTTGATACACCTAAAATAGGTGTTATTTAGCCATCATTCTTGAGGTGTTTGCGTGCTGAATTACAGTGTCTATGCCACATGTCAAGCTAGTTTAGGCCTATTTTTGTCCTATTTGCAAAACATCCATTTTGGCATGGGTTAGCTTGATATGAAGGTTTTATGGGGAAATCGACCCAACTTTGTTGTATTTTATGATTTTTTCAGTGTTTGTCATGAAATTCCAGGTCTTATATTCATCTAGGATTGATCGGGAATAGGGATGGTAATGACACCCATAACCGCGGGTACCCAACCGCCCCCGACCAAGTGAAAGCGGGGAATCCCAGCATTGAATGGGTATGGGGCGGATATGGGTAAAACCCACAAAATATTTGATGGGTATGGGGGCGGGTATGGTTTTAGCCTCCCCACCACATACCCATACTCATACCCGCCCCATCAAAAGCATTTCTTCACATATATATAATACATGGATAAAATTGTAACCTATCAATGATAGTGAGTGTAAGTCAAGAAAATAAATAGTAGAAATGTAAATGAGCGGCCACCCAAATCAAAACCTAATACCTTTTCCTCAACTCTCCATTCACTCTTTCACTTTTTTCCTCGTGTTAACAAGATTATTTTAGTTAGTTATTACTTAGTAGATGTATCATAGCCAAAATAATGATGTGGATTGTATTGTACTCTCTTATGGATTAATGGAGGTTTTAGGATAAGATGTTTTGAACCGTATTAAGAACGATTGTCTCTTTGTAGACTTCATGATATAGTAGATGCATTTAGTGTTATAATTGAAAACTTACATGTAAATTTTTAGGTATTATACTATTGGATGTACGTGGCAGATATTACCCATGGGTACCCGAAATCCACGGGTATGGGGATAAGTTTGCAAAACCTTCCCCCGCATGAGTATTGGGTAGGTATGTATTTGGATATTTGAAAGCGAGGGTGGGGATGGTTTAGACAAAACTGCCCCAAAGCCCCCACATTGCCATCCTTAATCGGGAATTGATTAGAGTTCATCCAAGCACGATTGCGAAGCTTAGGAGCAAGAAGGGAGAAAAAACACAGATCACAACCACATCACGATCGTGACCAGGCAGTGACTAATGTAGTCAAAATCGCACTTCAAAGCTTAAAAAATTATATGTTTATGCGTCTAGGTCACCAAAACGCTTCTATGCAAAATCACAGTTTTTATAACTAATGTAGTTAAAAACGCGCTTTAAACTTTAAAAGCTTACGGTTTTACACTTTTAGATCACCAAAATGCTTCTATATAGAAACGCGCTTTTGAATACATTTGTAGTGACTATGTTCGCGGTCTTGAACAATAGTCGCCAACTTCAGCAAGCAACCAACAAAGAGGGCATAAAGTTTCGACACTCAAATCGCGGCCAAGGGGCTTTTCGACCGCGAAAAAGATTGCGATCGTGATTCATGATGGAGGTTACGATATCAGAACTTGAAGACGATGACAATACACGAATTTTCGGGCGATTCAGCTCTGTTTTAGCCTAGTCACCGCCTGGTCACGCCCAGGTCATGTATGTGACCATCGAGTCACGCCCTTGAGATTGTGATCTGACTGTATAATTTATAAACACACATTTTCTGCACTTGACGAAGTAGAGCTGACCTAGAGTGAGAAATTAGAGTTGTTGGGTAGTTTTTAGAGAGGGAAACGCCTTGAGAGAGCTTGGGAAAGGTCCAATCCATCCAAGGATCAACGAGAAGGTGCAATGCAAGGAGAACAAGATGATTCCAAGCATTTCTCCTCTTCTTATTTTGTATTTTCTTTCTCTCTATGACTTGAATCCCTATGTTTGTTTTGGGAAGATGAACCCTAGCTTATGGGTCATGTGTATGAATGATTATGAACCTATAATCTATGTCTAATTGATGTTTGTGCATGAGAATCTTTTACTTTATTGTGATTGACTTGTTCTTGACCTAGGAGAGATAAACATCCCCTTAGGTTTAGATTGGGGCATACACCAATTAGTGTGGGATTGTCTATATCCCATTTGCTTGTTTGCAACCTAGGGTTTAACTAGAGTTCTTAATACTTCTAATTAGGGTTTAGATGTGTGTGAATGCTTCTTACCATGATTGGTTGATTTAGAGATCTAGCTAGAGGTCGAGGTGAACATCCCCTTCTAGTTAGATTCTCACCTAGTTGATTCTTTCGGGTAAGTGCATGACCATCGACTTACCCGACTTGTGTGCGGACGTATACAATCCGTTTAGAGGAGGTAGAACCAAATTCCTAGTTGGGTACACCGGTTGAGGTGACATTGGGCCGGTTCACCTAGCTAGGAGGGGGACCGATTGCATGCATTGAGTCGATCCCCACCTTCATGAACATAGAGTAGGTGCGCTTCGACTTTAGAAATATAAACCTTTACTCGGGCACGTGTCAAATTTTCAATGTGATATGCTTGAGGACAAGAATAAATATGAAGTTTGGGGTAATATGATGACACCTAAAATATACTATTTTTCTACCTCATTTTATGAAAAAATTTACAAAATTTTCTTATATCTTTAGCCATTTTAGCTTTGTTTTGCTTCGTATTGACTAAAACGTGCATTTGATTCCTTTTGGACAACTTTTGGATATTTTTGGGCCAAGGCAGCATATAGGATCATCATGTACATGAACGCTTCATGAATCAGAAGTCATAAATTCTTTTCAAGTAGACCAAGATATTTGGGCGGTCTGATGGGGCGGTCTTGTAACTTGTAAGCCCTGGGACGATCCATTTTGTCCTATATTGGGGAAGTCCATTCACTTCTTGGCGATCGAAAACCTTCTCATCAACTCCAAACAAAGGATACATGCCAAATATTCAAAGATGAGAGATTTTTTTTTATAGAAAACATCGTGAAACCCTGATTTCCAAGGCAATCGGTCCCTCAAGTAAACAATTGCATATAAGTTTTATTGAAAGGTTATTTAACTCCCAGAAGTCCTCCAGACTTCCAAATTCCAATCAATCTGAAACCTTGAAGGAGAGGATTGGGACAGTTTACACTATCTCCTAGAATCATCCCAAAAGCATAGAGGTTGCCCAAACTCCACAGTAAGGTTTTTTTTTTTTTGCTACCGATTGGATGTTTATGGTTGTTTCTGTCCCCATGAGTGGGTAGTTCAATAGTTGTTTAGGTTTGTGGAACTTAGAGGTTTCAAATATTTTTAATGATGCTTTTTTATACTTTCGCTTCATATGATATTAATTGGAAACGAACTTTCACAATTAATATTTTTTTATACTTTCTCCGACGGAGGATCTAGTGTCATGGCCAAATGATAAATTTTTTGCGACGACATGCGTTGCCAAAACTTAGATCCTTCAGCGATGAATCAAGGTTTTTTCCACGAACCATGTTTTCTCATCGCAGAACTTTTTGCGACACTGTATAAGCGACAAAAGTTTATTGCCTTATGCGACGATAGAATTCGCCGCATAAACCTTTATACGACGGATTTGAGGCTTTCTGTGACAAATTTTTTTGTCACAAAAAGTGAAGTTTCTTGTTGAGTATGGAGTGATAAACTGATAATTAAGTTAGTTGCCTCACTCTGTTCATGCTTTAAAACCCTAAACAGATATTGAATTGGTTGCTTGAAATCTAACCAACTACTTTTCTCATTCAAAGGAATACCTCTTGACAGCCTTTGCTTGCCTTAGTAGTTTAATTCAAGTAGTTTTAGCTGTCAATTAGTTAAGCTACTACCCCATGGAATACAACATATAGAGACCTTAATAATACTAAAAGTTGAGATTCGTACACTTGACAAAGTGACCGACTGACCGTGTAGATAAACTACGTTATCAATAGGCATCAAGCATCAATAATCGAAATTTTGTATAAACTAAATTTTTGAGTCACTCTTCATTGTTGAAATATAAAATCTTCTCATTTGGCACATTTGCTAGGTTTTTTTTTCCACCTCCTTCTACCTCAAAATGAACTCTTTATATGAAAAATCATCAAATGGACGCTGGAGTCAAATTACCAATCCATAACCATTGATGTTCAAAAATATTGGTGTGTTTTCATTGTAAAGGTTGCAATTCCTGCTCAGGAGCATCATCATCCTCATCGACAGATTTGTATGTCGTCAATGCATTTTGCCTACGCCGCAAAACTAACCATAATCCTATGCCGAACAATCCAACGATGAGTGTGCTTATTGCAGCTATGAGAATCACTAGATAGTGCGTCTCCCACCACGTCCTACAGAAAGTAACATTTTTCAAACCAATCATGGAAAATAAATACTATATATCTTTTGTATGGGCTCAACTCAATCACGAAATATAAGAAGAGAGTCTTATAACAAAACAAAAGACTCACTGTTGTGGTGGTGGCTGAACTTTCCATTGGACCAACTTATAAGTCCCAAAGCTATCAGGAAGATTCATATGGTGCTTCACCACTCGAGCAATTATACTCTGTACACAATTTCACCAAATCAAAACAAACAATTTTCCATGGATGGTAGAGGAATTTTACAATATTTTAAAGTATTGGTGTTTTAGTTTTTGCATTTATGGTACAACTTCGGGTTGTACCTATAATCCTATACTCTTTTGTGAAATCTTTTTTATGGTACAAACTAAAGCTGTACTGTTATGTTATGTACAACTTTGCGACTTCAAGTTGTACCCATAACATAAATGGCAAATTCAATTATGGTGCAACTTCAATTTGTACCTTTCAGCGCGTAATGGTATAATTTCAAGTTGTACTTTAAAGCACCAATACTTTAAAGCATAGTAGAAGTGCTCTGGATGGTATTGTTCGTAGTCACAATGATGAATAACTTACCAGAGCAGTGCCATTGGAGATGTATTGAGTAGATTCCAAAGGAACTATGGACAGGCCTACGAGTGAATCGTTCCCTTCTGGCGAAAGGCTCTCCACGTGGACCTATAGATACGCTTGAAGAAAAAAGAATGTTATCTTCTCGAGAGAAAAAAAAAATTTATCCAATTACAAAGACGGACAATTTCAAAGCATATTCGACTGATCACCTGCGAAACGTTGATTTTTAACTCTTGAGCAATGTGTTCTGTTAAGTTGTGGAGATTTTTCTTCAGATCATGGTAGTTGACACTGAATGACATTTCAAACTCGATACGGCCAATGTAGATCCCTCCTGTAAACAAAAATTCACCGAAGGGAGATGTGGGATTATATATAGGAAAAATTGCATGAAAAAATACGACCTATAAAGCTAAGTTATACCTCGAAGAGCATAGTGCGGTAGATCACTTGGACTCGGAGCCAAAACAGATGAAGCTTCTTCGGTATGGTTGTTTTGATGTGAAGGTTGTGGCGAAGGAGCTGGAGAAGAAGTAGCTAATTGAAGTCTTTCCCATAACTCCGAGCAGTTGGTCTTCCAAAATCCCACTTTTGCATTCTCACGGTCATATACAACAAGAGTATTTCGAGCAATGATACCTAGTAATTAAGACAAAATTATTATTTATCATTAAACTATCACAAAAAAAAATTGTGGAAGAATGATGAATAATGCACCTCCAAGTAGTGTTGTTGGATCCTTTCCATTTTGGAACACCCCAAGGCAGTAAGCACCATTCACTTTTGAGTGCTGCAATAAAAAAATATTAATAAATTTTGTGGAAAAAAAATTAATAACTAGCTACAATAAATTAAATCCAACTAAAGCTCCCCATCCATAGAGAAAACATTTTGAAGAATTGGCTATATAATATAACGTTCAAACACTCACCCGAAACAAGTAGTTTTCGGGCGACAACAATATCTTCTGTCCCTTTTCAAACGCCAGCTCGACCTTTGGGAAAGTACGCGACAACTCCGAGACATTACTGCTTAGACATCCGCATTTTTCGTTGTTAGTAACAATCCGCAGAATATACACATTATTTTACCAGCAGCTGAACTACGATTTTTTTTTTTTAAACGAAGGAATAAATAATACCTGCTTGCTCCAGCAAAACAAATATCGTTATAATTAGGATCGGGGCCATGAATTCGCTTCAAGGAATGAAGTTCCTTCATAATCTGATTCCAAGAATCACCACCACCAAATAATTATTTCACCATCGATCATCGTTGAATGAATTAAACACATGGACAAAAGAAGCAGCAGCTTACAGCATCCTTAAACACAGAAAATGCTTGCTCCGGAAGGTAAGCGTACGTGGTGCCGCTGTCCAAGACGGTTCCATATTTGCCGTTGAATATCTTGGGATCCAGCTGCAGCTTCTTGCCGGCGACATGGATCTCCTTCAAATCAACATTGTAGTATGGACTGTGGCCATCCCGAAACTAAGAGTAAATGTGTCTTAGAAAGCTCAAAAACGACCGACGACACACACAACAACAACGCGCAAGAGAAAACTCATCATCGTTCTCGTTTCAACTTGGAAAAGTTAATTTGCTAACTTGAATATCCAATTACTAAAGTATCTAGAGAGCACAGACTAGTATTCAAAGTTTGCTAACTGATATCCACCATGAATCAACTATTATCCCAAATTCACAAACTAGTATCTAGACGACACAGAATAGTATCCATACAACACATAATTAGTATCCAGACAACACATAAGAGTATCCATATTGAATACTAGTTGGTTGATTGTGGATATTAGTTGATATCTGCTATCGGGATACTAGTTTGTGATGTTTTGAATACTAGTCTGTGCTATCTAGATACTCCGCAGCAGATACTTGTATATTAGTTCATACAACTTGAATATTAGTTAGTATATACTAACGAATCTTCAAGTTAGCAGAATAACTAGGCTGCGGTTTCAACTCACCTCCGCAGAGGGTCGGAGCCGGTGAACACCATGTCAGGAGGCGGAGATACGGAGCCGAGGACCATGGCGCCGCCTCCAACCTCCATCCCGCCGTAGCAGAGGGCGAAGGAATCGTTGATGACGCCCTTGTCGACCAGCTGGTCCACGACGCTCAGGTCGCCTCGGCCCAGGCCCATGATCCCGTCGGCGTGCTGGGTGTAGAGGTCGCCGGTCTCGACGTTCTCGCAGCCGAAGACGGCTCGCTGGGGGTCGAGGCCGCTGTCGTTGCCGAAGGAGAAGAGGTCGCCGCCGAGGACGCCGCTGCTGGTGCTCATCTCAGCGTACTGCCGCTCGTAGGTGCAGAACACGTTCTCGACGTCGCAGTTGCATTCCATGGTGCACTTCATGGGCTCGTAAGTTAGCGACAGTTCCGGCGCAAACTTTGGATCCTGGTTTCGAGAGAGGCTTTATTATCATTTTCTACAGACTTATACCCGAAACCGAACCGTATAACCCGGATCGAGATCGAATAGCAAACAATCAAATTCAATTTTCGGGTTTAGATTTGAGGTAAAAACCCGTTTGATACCGGATCGAAAACCGGATAAAAACTGGATAAGAGAGTCCAACAGTCAAAATTTAACCTACTCAAACTTTGAGGCTTTAGGTCACTCAAATTCCCCCTCAGGCTACTCAAATCAGCACAAGCTCAATCTAAAATCAAAACCGGATTGGGACCAGACTGTATCCAATCCAATATTTGATTCTTATATTCTCAAAAAGATCGAACCGGAATCGAATCAATTCAGGCCAATTTAATCGGATCGGACCGTATAGCAAACGAAGTTTGAAGCAATTAGTACGTACGTACCTCGTGGTTGCCACATTGCTCACAAGTGGAGCAGGGGACGTAGGTGACGGTGCTACCTGTGTCAACAATCAAGGAGAATTTCTGGGGTGGCGTTCCAATCCAAAGTTGAGTGGTATAATACCTTCGTCACAAGAAGAAAAGGAAAAAAAAAAGAGGGATTTTAACTAATATGTTTGTTTGCACAAAAATTAATAAAAACCAATCTGAAGTGAAGATGCCAAATCAGGATGACAATTGCAAAAATTCCTGATAAGATAACCTACTTGATAAGAAAATTTTGAGGTTGGTTTTTTTACCCCAAATGATATCTTGTTTAGAGAAAGAGTACTCAAATACCTGGTTTGGTTACTCTTATTGTTACAATGTTTATCCCTTTATTTAGTTTTATGTACAACAAAATACATGTATTGTTACCTTCACGTGACACAAACCGTCTGATTATACAACATCATATTTTGTTGTTGGGATAGTTGAGTTCATTTTTTTTTTTTTTTGTTCTACTTTTATCATTTAAAAAGTACATTTTGTTTTGTTACATCAAATCCATTCATACATTGCACAAACATAATACATGTCATAGATAAAAAAATCACAATACACCATATTTAGCAGTTAGAAAAACCAAAATATAATCCAATCAAGCCAGTGTGAAAAATAGATTTTTTTTTTTGTCACCAAACGAGCAAGCATAGCAAAACCAGTAAAGATTATAAAAATTCTTATGTTGCTCTTTTTTTTTTTTTTACACACTTTCATAAAACTTTCGAAGAAAAATAAATAAAGAGACAGAGGCAAAAATATGGCAAATTACCCATCAAGGAGGAGATCGTCGTAGAGTCCCATACGTGCATGAGGAAGGGAGTGAGGAATTGATGATTTCCGAAGATTCTTGCGGTGCTTAGCATTTGACAACGTGCCAGAAGAAGAAGAAGCTGATTGTGATTTTTTGGTAATGTGGTGGAAGAGCGGCAGTATCATCGCCGGACCAGCGGGTCCGACGAGAACGGTGCTGGCATTGGCAGAGTAGGGCCGGTGATCGGAATCATAGAGTACTGTAGAACTTAACGGTGCTCGTGCCGTGGGATTTGCAGCACAAGAGTAGAAGAAGACGAGGAAAAGTAGTAGAAGAGAATGTAGATGTGGTCGAGCCCAAGCCATTATCACAGGGGACGAATTTGGCTCGGGCAACACGACAGAAACAGGGCTCAGATTTGAAGAGTAGTGTTACCGGTGGAGAAGAAGTTGGATGAACTGAATTGCTTGCAAAAAACTGGTTCTTTTGCTATTAATAACAGTGTTAATGGCATTTTCAGCCTCTTTTTAAGTTTTTTTTTCCCCTCAAGTTTTAGACTGATTCACAAAAAAAAACATTATTTCAAGATCCATAAAGATGGCCTACTATCTCGGGGTTTTTTTCCGCCAAAAATTCCCATTTTTTTTTCTGTTCCGGGTTTTTTTTAATGGTTTTATAAAGAGTTAATAGTATATATAATGATTTCCTATCATCACCTCTATATTATTTTTGTTCCTAATATAGTCTTTCGAAGATAAATGTTTTCTTCTTGTGCCTCTTGTTGTTAAAAAAATCGTTAAACGGGGACTCAACTACTCGATGAACAAGGTAATTAGGCGCTGACTCCATCCAAAAAAATCATATAATTACAAGTTAACATTGCTATTTTAATCTTTTTTCAGTTTCGATAAAAGGTAATTGTTGGGTGAAACTCAAGGATGGGAGAGGGGATTAAAAATATAGAGGAATATTTTTATGATTATGAAGACTTTTTAGGCACAAAAACCCTGTCTCAATTCTTAAGGAGGTCACTCCATCCAACAAGCTAAAATTTTTGCAACAAAGTACTAAGAACTGACTTTGAATAAGAGTTAGATAAATGGGGGGGAAAAATCTATACTTTGAGAGCCTTGATAGGAAAATAAACTGTTCAGTGGCTAATTATTTTGAAATAATTCATACTCTGGATAAGATTAGTAGTTGGAATCCTTCAGTAACTAACAGTTGCCCACTCTGTAACAATGCAACAGAGTTAAGAGATCATCTCTTCTTTATCTGCTCTTGTTCAAAGAGATCCATCTTCTGATGATGACCAATACTACAGCAAATATTGGGAGGGAATAATCTTACAAGATACATTGCATTGCCATTTCATTGTCATACTCAGAAAGACGACGAGATACATGTGAAGATTAAAGCCGATTGCATTGGAGGTTCAACTTCATCACACACTGATCAAAGTTGATCCATCCAGCAATCTGGGCTGCAAAGCTATTAAAAACTACTTCGCAAAGTACCAAGTGCTGGATTCAAAATCCACTTCGTTGCGTTGTGGGTCTTCGATATCTTCCTTGACCCTTTCTGCACAAGGCATACAGGAGAAGCCACACAGACTATGGAGCTGTATTAGATGCTACCCAGAGAAGTTCATGCACATAAAGCGACTCTCTGGTCAGAAGTCATAACCGTAGTATGAAGCCCCGGAGGCAGCAAGCAGAACACAGCATGATTCATGCCTTACATATCTGGCAATTGGTGTTCATTCTTCACTCAATTTAGATCTAACTGCTTAGACTGACGGCGGCTCCATGACGCAAATGTAAAGTTTCGGGACACCAGGTAGAGTATGAATGATACATATCCAACTGTGAATGCGCAGACCACTACTGCAACTGTCAATCCATCTACCACGTTCATGAAGAAGTCTAACAATAGGTAGCCATTGATCAATATAACCAGTACAGCCACAATCCATGAAATTGTCTGCAAAAGAGAAGATTTTTTATGTTTAAGTAAAGGGGACAAATTAGGGAACTCTAGTAAACGCAGTAGAATCTCGTTTACTGCAGTCTAGAATGGATGTAGGTGCAGTAAGAGAAACGTGTACAATAGCAAGAAGATAAGCACAACACATTAACATAGTTCATGTAAGAGGAGGGTCCGTTCTCTAAGTGGGGTGATTGTTTGAGAAGGATGAAACTGCTGAGGAGAAAAAAAACTATCAAGTTTCAACCAAACAACTGACTTCTCCAGCCCATTGGAGTGGCAAAGAAGACAAGATTGGCATGATCACAATAGACTATTGAAAACAGCAGCACTCTGATCACACGCGCATTTCAATGGCTATAAAGAGAGATAGATTGCAGAAAGCAAAGAAAAAGGGCAGGAGAAGAAGTATACCTTAAGAACGGGACCAATCCGAAAAGTGCCCATGATCTCTTCCTTGGCGACCAAGCATAAAAGGGGTATAAGTGCAAAAGGAATCTGAACTGACTGAAGGACATTCAGCCACTCATTCAATTTATCCAGGGAGTCCTCAGAGGAATCAAAGATAAGTGCAACAATTATAGTTGGGATGATGGCACAGCTCCGCGTGATCATTGCCCTAACCCATTTCTTCAATCTCAAGTTCAGGAAACCTCCCATTATAAACTGGCCGGCATAAGTGCCAGTAATGGTGCTACTCTGGCCCGCTGCCAGCAATCCAATAGCCCATATGTACAGAATCGGAAAGATGCCACCCCCATATTTATCTTGAAGAAGCTGCCCTGCATTTACAAGGCCAATGCTATTGGCTACTTCAGTGCCATAGAACGCCTTTGCAAACACAGTGGTGACGCATAAATTGATGAAAAACGATACAGCTAGTGCAGCAGTGGACTCGATCCCATAGTATCGAAGAGCTTCGTCGACACGACCCTTCTTGCTTCGATCGACATCCCTTGATTGTACTAGAGCAGAGTGCAAGAACACGTTGTGGGGCATGATGATGCAACCCACAACTCCAACGGCTTGTTTTATGGTTTTTGAGCTGAGTTTAGGAATCAAGATGCCTGCAGATTTCAGGTACACAATCAAGTTTTAACATGACCAGCCATGGTAAAGAAAAAGAGAAGCCCTTGATGGAATAGGAAACAGAATCACAACTCACCCAGAAGAAGTTCCGTTCCATTCGGTTTCGTGTCACCAAACATCCAAGCAAAAGAAATTGCCATCACAGCGATTAGAACAGCAAAGAACGCTTCCAATTTCCTCACACCATAGTTCTCGAGAAACAGGAACACGAAACTGCACTAACGCCAAATCCTCCATCAGCAAAAAATTTTGAAAGTCGGAAAAGACAGCCAAAACATCTATGAACCAAAATTCAAAACCCAGAACAGAAAAGTGAACCCAATTGGAAAAATGGAAGATGATTAGAAAGTTACCAATCAAGAGCGGTGATGACAACGCCAGCCCACAAGGGCAAATACCCATTACTCAGAATCTTAATCGCAATAGCACTCCCAATAACCTCCTGAATATCAGCTCCGATGAGAGCCAGCTCCGCCATAATCCAGAGCAGCATCCGGGCCCAAGTCGGGTACTCCGACCGGCAGAGCTCGGCCAAATGCCTGCCGGTCGCCACGCCGAGACGAGCCGAGAGCATCTGAATGAGAAGCCCAACCGCGGTTGCCCACATCAGCAGCCAGAGCAAGGAGTATCCGGCAATCGCACCGGACTGAAGATCGCCTTCCAAATTCCCCGGATCAAGAAACGCTATGGACATCAGGAATCCAGGACCAGTGAAGAGCCAGAGCTTCCTCCACGAGAAGGGCGGCGCGAAATCGGACGCGTCGGAGTCGGAATCAACCCCGACTATGTGGATTCTCTCGGAGGGTTCGTACGCCGTTTCTTCCCGCTCGTCCGGCTCCTCGCCGGAGAGCAGGGGCTGCCGGTGATCCTGAGGCGGGGGAGCCATGGCGAACACTTTCCTCAAATAGAAGCTCGGAGTAGCGGGTGAGTGTAGTAGGAAGGAAAGGGAGTGTAAATCCAGTAATTTGGAGTGGAGGATGGTTTCACCTTTTCAGCTTTTTATCCTCGGGCGAAGGACGAATGGTGGTGGTGGCCGGTGGGGCGTGGTATATAAGTAGTCTTATCGGCTGCTTGTTTGTTAGTCGTAGATGAGAAGAGGACGAGAAGAAGATAGAAAAAAGACAGAGGAGGAGGGACCGACGGGAAAGACGATAGCGACGGACGTGGCGTGCCACATGCGCAGTTTCTGGTGATGAGGACGGAGGAGGAGAAGTGAAGAACCGAAGGAGGGAAACGAGGGGTCGTCCGATGCTGCGTGGGAGGAACGAGCCGGCTTCGTTATTACCGTGCTGGGCACATGCGGGCCCACGGGCGGGTGTGTGATCCACCGGGCTAACACCGGCGGTGTGGGCTCTCTAATATTTAATTAACGGATCATCCTGCCAACAGCTAGCCCACCACGAGTGGGACGACGGCACAGAGTTCAACGCATGGGAATTTTTCATAAAATACTAAAAAAACAATATGATAAATATCGTTAAATTATTTAAGAAATTGAGATTATGTACCAACCCAATATACGGTTGACGGACCGATGACGTCACATTACTAATTGGAAGAGTTTACTATACTTACACCTAGGGATGTCAATCCAACCCGTAACCATGTGTATCCTACCCGACCGTTACCAGTCAACGAGGGTAATTACCCGTTTTGACGGGTTAAGGGGCGGGTACGAGTAATACCCGGTTTCAAAATAAAGGGTAGGGTACGGGTATGGTAATCGATAATACACGCCCCGTTATACCCGGCCCGCTAACCAAATGGTCAATTTCCCTTGAGAAATTTAGTTTAGCTTGAGAAATTGAGTTTAACTACCATTATTGATGCTGAAGATGTAGACGATTATTATGTTTGTGTGGATTGTGGAAGCAAGAACAATTATTATGTGTTTGCTGTTTTTATTCGTGTGGATTGTTGAAGTTAGAACAGTTACAAGTATTGAGAACTTTTAATGGACAACAGTATGTATGTGCATATATGTGTATAAGTTCATAGTTTAGGATTCGTACCCATGGTTACCCGAATACCCGTGGTTACCCAGTGGGTAGGGTATGGTTATATAATTTTCATACCCGGTGGTTATTTGGTCGGGTATTTTAGAAGGCTCTACCCGGCGGGTTAGGAGTTGGTATAGGGTAAACCCGCACCCGACCCTACCCATTGCCATCCCTACTTACACCACACCGAAGTTAGGGCACGAGCTTTCAGTATACAAGCGATCGAGTTCTCTACAAAAACATATACCTCATCCAATGATTAAAAAACATTTAAATGAAAGTAAAATATCAATAACAAGAAGAAAAAACTGGTATAAAATGAGCGGCAATTTTGTATTCAATCCACAGTTTCAATTCAATCTATTCATTTAAATATTATTGAAAATTTATATTTTCGTAATT